GCATTCCATAGGAATGCAAACAGAGATTCTGTTATAACAGCAGGAAATCTGATATACTATAAGAACTGCTTGGAGGACAAAATCCATCATAATGATAAAGAGAAGGAAGTTACAGTACCTTGGCAGCAAATCTTCCATTTCCAGGCCGTCTTTGAACAGGTGGAGCACCAACCCTGCATCAAATGAAAAATAAAGTTGAAGAAATGAAAAGGCAATATACTTCTGAGAATGAACACCTACGGATGAAAGAATCACTATGAAGATGCTGGCAGCAACACGTGGAATTGTTATAGGACCACAAGTACACATGGCTGAGAGTAGAGCATCTTACCGTCATAACATCTATTAGTATCCAACTAACAGAGAATTTATACAAACCATTCAATACTAAACAGTTACGAAAAATGAAGATCCCTCAGACGCTCTGGTGAAAATCTCAAATTAAAGACACTCCACATAGCAGTAAAACTGGGAACACAACCACCCCAACGACTCCTCTCTCTCCAAAGTCAAATACAGAGGAGACCTCTTCCAAAGCAACATCCACAAGAATGAAACAAAACGAATACACATGCAAAGAAGCTTCTGTAGGAATCAACCCGTTAAGTTCCAACCTTTGCAAATCAGCATCTCATTAATATTTGCCCACTATAACCGCCACCCATAGAAGGAACTTCAGAAAATTGTCATGACAAACCTACTCTTCTATATCACATGTCCCAACCCAAATTCTCCCTCTTGTTATGTTGAAAGGGAAAAAATTACCATACGGAAATGATCCATATGAGTTCTATCTCTCAATGATTGCTTAAAGCAGGGAAAACAAATCCAATCAACCACAGAAACTATCCCATGTAGGTTCTATCCCTCAATGCTTAAATCAGCGAAAAGAAATCCAATCATCCATGAAGCAGGCAACTAAGACCAATAAAACCAGATGGAAAATGAAGCTTCTTTCAGTTAAACTAGAAAAAGGACGAGAACTCTCCATAAGCCTCGTATTGGTATGGCATTAAGTAGCAAATGACATGCATCCTGCAGCATTATCTTCTCAGTTTCATATCTATCATCGGAAAGTATCTAGAAGGCCAATCGATGATATAAATACTAAAATGCAAAACGAACGGAAGTGCAGGACACACTCCCAGGAACAAGTTCTGTAACATCACATATTGTAGGCAATAGCACATAATCTAGTGTGTAGTGGCCAGTAGAAAAAGCTGAACATGGGATAACACCGCAACTATAACGCTCCAGAATCAGTAAAATTCGAACAAGAGAACAAAGTTATCTACTGCCAGGCCCGTCAAGGAATCTACAGTGGCACCCAATTAACACAACAAGAGTGAAACTAACTTTTGACTTATAAAGCAAATGAGCTGGTCAACACAGACAAAGTCGAACTATCCAGATCAAATGTGCTGTCTTGTTTCCGTAAATGTACTAAATACTTCAAGTATTTAAATGCAGTTAACATTTTATGTAAAACCAAAAGCATCTCCTTCAAACCAAACCACTGTCCAATACTTGTAATCAATTCTTTGACAGATAACCCGAAAACCATGCAGTCCCCAGTTCTTAGCATGAATTTCCGCAATCAAAAGAGATATGCACTGCTCAACATATAGAAATTTTGCAAACAAGAAGTTTATGATGCAGGAATTCAATTCTGGATGCCATTTACGGAAACAGTCAACACTTGGAATCACTCCCAAATTGGCTGCTTGCCACTTAAACAACTAAATGCAGGAGTTCCACAATTATTCCAGTTGAAAAATGCTTCAATCGCAAGCACAGGGAAGATGCCAATAGTAATGTTGAAGGGCCAATATTTACCTGCAATAATTTCAAATATAGAATTTCCATCAAGCGCCAACAATTACCACCAACACGAGAAGCATATTTGAAGTTTTAACACATATCCTAACAGTTTATATTCAAGACTTCTTATACAAAACATAGGAATGCACCTAATGAGCAGTACAAAGTACCTTGGTTTCCAATTAGCCATCTGGTTATGGGGAAAAGCTCTATTTCGAAATGCAGCATTTGCAGCCTTTCGTGCAGCCTCAGCTGCCAAAGGGAATTGGTTTCCCTGGAAATTTGACCTTCTTTGAGCTAGGAACCCCTGATTCCAATATACAAAATTTAAACAAAGCATCATATCAGACTCTCTGCAACTGTGCATAAAGAAGATACGGTTTAGAACTTCACATTATCAGCACCCTTTCCTACCTGTCTAACTGATGATCTTGAATCCATATATCGCCGCACCTTTGCTGATTTCTCCTGAACAGCAGTTTTCAAAAAGCTCTGACCTTTATTCTGCGGTGACATAGAAAATAAATACTATGATACCAATCAAACATCACATCAAAGCAGCAATATGGGTGGGTCATCGGAACGGTGGGGAAAGTACAGAACAGCTCTTACCGGCGCCCTACGCTGCTGCTGCTTCTTAGCTTTAGTGCCGTTATTTTTCGCCATTTTAATGATGTCATCTACATTAGCACAAAGAGAGAAAAAATTAAGCACGAACAATAATCACGTAAATTAAAAAATAAAAAAGAGGATAATAGATTAGAAGCAAACCTAATGTCATGTCCATTTTCTTCTCTGTAAGAGCAATTGCCTCAGTTGTAAGTGGTTTAGCAGCCATCTGCAGAACACAAGCATAGAAATTCAACAATTGCAAAGCACTATACGAAACCGGAACCACAACAAATAAACAAAAAAAAAATCTTTCTCAAAAATTCACCTGTTACGAGATACATAAACATCATACAAACTCAATTAAAAAAAACAAAGAAAATAAAAAAGTTTTACTTTGCCATATATGAAGACCGAGAAAACTTCTTAGCTGCTAAGAAATTCCTAAAATCAGAAAATCCCTCGGAACAAGCCTAATATAACGAATACTCCCAAATACTTCCCTTCGGATTTTAATTTTTCCACAACTAATCTCTTCTTTAGCTTTTCCTCGTCAAACAAAGAGGAAACTCAAAAGAAATCTCACCGATTCAATCGGAAATCGAGGGTTTCAAAAATCTCATACAAAAATCGAAGCCAAAAACATATTATACCGAGATTAAAGACGAAAACTTTACCAGATTCTCAGACGAGATCAACGAAATCGAAGAAGAAACTAGGGTTACGAGCGTCGGAAATAGAGGAAGAAGAAGAGGAACAATTTTCAATGATTTGCTTTGCGAAAGCAACAAACACGAGCAAAGAAGAAAACGACGAAGGCAAAACCGTAGAGGCGAAGTAGTCTGTGGGCGGTATTTATATGAGAGGGCGAGACAACCGTCTGAACGGCGGACTTCAAAGGCGACATTAAATATATGATAATCAAACCCGAGTTTGTTTAGGGTCTTTTTGAGTCCGCCTAGCTGGATCCTCGATGTACCGCAAATATCGCGTGTTCTCACGTGTCTCATATAGTTCTATGTTTTATTGACGTTTCTTTCTTATTTCTTTATTTTTTTTTGACTTTTTTATATAGATACCACCTAAACTTTACGCATTTGACAATTTTATTTTTAAACTTAATTTCTTAATAATTGACTCCTTAAACTTAAAAATATTTACATATTTATGGTCAGTTTAATAATGTTATAGATTTTAAAAAAATTATTTTTAGTTGTGTTGAATAAAAAAATAGTTGTTACAAAAAATAATTTAATATTTAATAAATTGTAATTATATAAGTGTTGCTGATTTCAAAAGTAGTATAATAACGTTTAGTACATTGTAAGGTTTAATTGTTGTGGGTAGTTAAGATAACCGTAATTAATAAGCTTAAATTAATACATAAAATAATTAATAATTGATAATTATTTAACAAATAAAAACTAATATTAATAATATAATAATAATGGATAAATTATCATTAATGAGTAAATTAGTAATTAAAAAATATATAATAAATTAATATCCTAAATAATAAATAGTGATTAGTAATTAATTATAAGTGATTACTATGTTAGTAATGTACTCATATTTATTAGATTATAAGTAATTAATTAGTGTATTAAGAAAAATAATTAGGGCATGTTTAGTTCGCTCATTCGAGTTTTTAATTCGAGTTGAGATGTGCTTTTATGTGAGAGTTTTTTATTGTAGCAAAAAAAATTATATGTGACTGTTTCTCAGAGTTTTTTACTGTAACAAAACTCAAATTCTAAACTCGAATCGGTGAAATGAATAGACCTTAGTATATACATAATTTATTAATATTCATTTTACTACTTAAATTATTAACTTTTAGTTACATGATTAAATAAATAA